CCCCACACCCACACCCACACCCACCCACCCACACCCACACCCACACCCACACACACACCCACACCCCACCCACACCCTCAAGTCATGAAAGTCAAAAAAGTCAGAAAAGTCAATTAAGTCAAAAAAGTCAAAAGGCAGTCGTTTCCCCCTTGCTGAAGACACATTTAAGGCTTTGATTCATCTTTCTAAATACCGACGAAAACATTTCGAGCTATAGGAACCAATAACAGGGAAAACAATGAATTTCATACGAGCCATTCGGAGTGTCATATGGATATGTGTACCGACAAGAACAGTCACACTCTAACCAGTTAGGGTGTGTCTGTGGGATGCTAGTATAGGCCATGTGTGCGTTTGTGGGTTTTTCGGGTAAATATGGCTGATGATATCAGTCTTTTCTTCATCCACACCCCCACTCTAAGAAAACTACTCAGAACTTTCAAGTTCACAACAGATGCTTTAATTCTCAATTAATAAACGTTTTTGAGCTACTCTAACGCGTTTCACAGTATAATTATTGATATCTAGACTACACTCATGGAATAACGGTGATATTCGTATGTTGCTCCAGTTTAGCGCTAGTCAGCTTGGCAAACTGATCGAAGAAAGCAGACTTGAAAGTTCGCTGGGCCCTGACCGCGTGTTTTTTTGTCAGCTGGTTCAGCACAGACGCCCATAACAGCAAAAACATCAATTACTGCAACAAAGTAATCTTTTGTAACCGCCACAAAACATCCCATAAGTGCTGTAACTGTACAGCCCATCCCGGTTAGCAGCGACAAACGCTCACTACCATTGGGCACACTAACTATGCGTTGGCGGTCACTGACGTAGTCGGTCTTTCCACTAAGTGCTACCACTGTGCGACCATTAAATTTTATCGCTAAATCACGTACAGTCGTAACAGGATCCGTAACTCCTGCTATTGAATCTACACCACGCACGTCTACCGTATGGTCTCCATGCAGTCGTCCAATTTCACCTGAGTTGCCCTTGATAAGTTGCAATTCAAAGGAGTTTGTAAGTTGTTCTATGGTTCGCGTACGAAGTTCAGTAGTACCCATACCGACGGGATCAAGCACAAATGGAATACCTTTTTTTGTTGGCTGCATGGCCTGCAAGAAGCATTACTTTGATTCATGGTTCACTTAGTGTACCTAGATTGGGCACAAGTGCTTGGCAGATGCTGACCATTTGTTCCACTTCTTCGATAGCATGCGCCATCACAGGACTGGCGCCCACATTTAATGTAGCATTTGCTGTGTGGTTCATCACTACACAGTTTGTTATGGGATGAATGAGTGGTCTTTGTTGCTTAATTGCTTCGAATGCGGTGATAACCGATTGTTTTAACTCATTTGTCATAATGGTGGATGTTGAAGCGATTTTCGTTTATCTTATTTTGTTATTAGTTGAGTAAGATTCTTATTAAAGACCGTTGAAGTACGTTACATGTATGTCAATGCGCACAAAAGACGTTAGACGTTGATAAAAAACATTAGTGAGAGCAACGATGAAAAGAGAAACACGTGGTCAAATTGAAAAAAAGGTTGAAAAAGAAAGCAATACGACAAAAGAGCCAAAGCGAACACAAATGAAAAACTAAAGTCGAAGAACGAACGAACAAGAAGAAGAGAGCGCGAATGGGAGTAAGATTATATGGCTTATGAAAGGAGTGATGATAAATAAAAACATAGAAAAAATGAAGCAATTGACGAGAGAGAAAGAGATGAAGGGCAAGTAGAGATATCGATGAGAAAGGATGTTTCAGAGTTCGTCACTGTAAGAAACATAGATACATATTTCTTTTTTTTTTGGTGTTTTTGATAACACTGTTTATTGCTACGTTCGGAAACACTTACATAGCCATGAACTAAGATTTAATAATATAGCATGCAATAGTCGATAGCAACATATTCAGGAGCTCGTATTTCTGACTTATGACCATTCTCGTATACTTTGAGCTTTTTTGGACAGGAAGAGAGAAAATGAACAAGCACAAAGAAGAAATATACAGATGAAGAAATTAAAAGAAAATAGGTTTTGAAAGCAAATTTGCAGCAAAAAAAGAGAACAGGCAGCCTTAATATAGGAAAGAAGAAAAAGAAAAAACAAGAGAGAATGCATAAAGCAAAAAAAGGCGAAGAAAGAAGGTGAGAATGCAAGCAAAAAGAAAAAAACGACAGTGCACATAGACCAAGGCCCACGAATGCACGCATCGATATTTAAGCGTCAAACTCAATCCATTTAAACAGTAGAGTTTCATGTCTATCTCTCATTTTTTTTAAACTCCTCCTATGCAGAAAAAATGTGGCAGATTATCTCCCTCACTTTTCTTAAAATTGTCCCAAAAGAAGCCGTTAAAAAAAGGGAAAAACGTCCTAAATCCAGTTTATAGATTTGCTCCAACCTCTTTCTAATGTATTTTATAACGTAAAAATCGAGAAAATTTTCATTTATTATCGTGAATAGTATGTGTTCTGACGCAAAAGAACATCAATGAATCAGTCTCTCATTCCTACTTGAAATTTATGGCTTAAAATTTCTTGGTGGAGTTTGGGTGGTATCGGAAAAAGGAGAAATAGTCAAGTGATATGCGGGAAAGTATAGACAAAAAATCATCTTCGTAATACCTAGAAGGCACTGCACATAAGCCACGCCCAACCTTGCTCAATTGATGCCAACTATTTGGCTAATATTTTTACAGTAGATACATCTAGGAGTCTTAGGAAGAAACTGAAAATTTCAGGTCAAACGGATGAACTGTTTTGGAGATATAGACGATACAAGTATGATGGGGTAGGCCCCATTGATTTAGTCCATTTTCGCCGAAGACAAATTTCGCTAAAAGCAAACTTTCACAGAAAGAAATTCGTCGAAAGAATTTTGTCAGTGATAACAAATATAGGCTGAATTTAATCATGTATACAACAATTATATTGAGGTAATTAATCAATCATACAAAGTCAGCTAAACCCAGCGTGAGATGACTTCCGTGTCAGTTAAACTGACTACCAAGTCAGTCGGTGACCATCTGAGTTGGTAGCCATGTGAGTTGATAACCAGGGTGTGGGTGTAGGTTTTCCTCACACACCTATACTCTCACATTCTCGCACCTAGAGACACCCATACCTCACACTCGCATCCACACATACCCACACCCATAGCCATACTCAGATGGTTAGCAACTCCGATGGTTGCGAACTCAGTTGGCGACCAACTGAGATGGTTACCGACTGATTTGGCAGTCATTTTAACCGGCATGGAAGCCATCTCATATGGGATTAACTGACTTAGTATGATCGATTAATTACCTGAATATATTTGTTGAATACATGATTGATTAAATTCAACTTATATCTGTTTTCCGTGATAAATTCATTCAGTAAAAATGGAATCGGCGAACTCCGTTTTCGGCAAATTCCTTTTCGGCGAAAATGGAATTTACCGGTCCCATTTGGAGTACTTTATAGTGCAATACTTTCGAGTAAATCTTCATTTTCTCGAGAACAATAAGTGATACAGCCGAGGTTTTTTTACCATAAATACTATCGACGACAGACTATATTTTTATGATAATAAAAGTGTTTCATCACTGGATAATTTTTACTTGGCATTATACAGAGCGTTGCAAAACCTTTCTGCCCCCCTCTGATTCAACCTTAAGGTCAAATGATTTCACTAAGTATTTTATACCAAATTAAAACGCATCAAAAACTGGATTTATTGGTACTAGATAATAAAGATTATGAAGAACTTTTTATGTCGAACTTAAGCAATTTTCAGGAATTTGATACTGTTTTGGTGTAGAAAAGTAAGCTGCTAATAATTGAAAAATGGAGTAGAACATTTTTCTTGGATATTTTTACATGGTTTGATAGCGCTCGTCTAGCTTTACAAAACTATAGTTTTTTAGAAATATTTCGGGGCATCTTTTTGACATAAAAATTTTTAAAAATACTTGGAAACTCTCAAAAAAATATTTAAAAGTTTAATTTTATTCATTTGGAAGAAAAACGTTTGATTGTACAATGAAATTAGGTTTTGTTTATTACTTTTGGTGATTCAATCGTTTCGGAATGTAGTCATTTGATGCTCCCTAAAAAACTGCATCTTATAAGCACATTTCGAAACGACTGAATCACCAAAAGTAATAAAGAAAAACCTAATTTCGTTGTAAAATGAAACGGTTTTCTTCCATATGAAAAAAATTAAACTTTTGAACATTTTTTTGAGATTTTCCAAGTACTTTTTAAAATTTTTTATGCCAAAAATATGATATGCATGGAAAAGCCCCAAACAAAAAATGTTGAAACGAAAAACATCGAAAAAAAACAAGCCGAAAGAAAAAACGTCGAAATAAAAAAGGTAGAAAAAAAGATTTCGAATGATGAAAATATCGAAAGAAAAAATATCGACTGTGTCTAAATGACGAAAAAATTGTGCGTGTCCACCAAGTAAAAATTTCCGATTCTCTCTACTTTGGTCGAAAAGAAAAATGTCGAAAGGTAAAAATGTTGAAAATAAAAACATCAAAAAGGAAAAGGGTACAAATGCTGAAAGGCAGAAATGTTCAGAATGAAAGTTTATGGAAAGGGAAAATTCGCATACCCTCACCTTCACTCTCATGCCCCACTCCTCACCCTCATTTTTTTGCTTTCGACTTTCATGTTTTCGACACTTTTACCTTTCGACATTTTTCTTTTCGACCAAATTAGGATGTACCGAATTTCCATCCATATTCATACTAAGATGCTGCAGGGTAAGGCTTCGCTGTACTCTATCCTCTTTCTAGCCTAAAAGTTTTACAGTCTTACTCTATGCTTTCCACGTCCGGCCAGTCTAACCAGAACTAAAACACACCAATCATGGATCCATGGAATCTAATAGATTCTAATGGGTCTTTGTGATAAAAATGGAACCAAGTAGATTCGTTTGATTTCATGGTAGAGTCCATCGGCCCAGATTCGAAAAAGTTCAATCAACCGGGTTCGGATCTGGATCCGAGTCCAAAACGTTTAATCAATCGGGTCCGAGTTCCAGTTCTGGTCCGAAAAATATTCGACCCGATGGGCTCTACTCCATGGACATCTGCCAAGATCTTGAATCTACTTTTTCTTTCTCAAGGCTAACCTTATCTTACTCATATGAGTCGTTACTTAAACGTTACTCTACATGACTCTGATTCGTACTCCACATTCACATCTATTTTATGTTCAGTTTTTCGATATTTATTTTTTCGACGCAACTATCATTCGATGTTTTTTTTTCGATATGATTACCATTCGACGTTTCTTTTTTCGATGCTTTTTTTCCATGTTTTTAGTTTCAACATTTTTCCTTTTAACCTTTTTTATACCACTCAAAAAAATGCCCCGAAATATTTCTAAAAAACTATAGTTTTGTAAAGCTAGACGAGCGCTATCAAACCATGTAAAAATATCCAAGAAAAATGTTCTACTCCATTTTTCAATTATTAGCAGCTTACTTTTCTACACCAAAACAGTATCAAATTCCTGAAAATTGCTTAAGTTCGACATAAAAAGTTCTTCATAATCTTTATTATTTAGTACCAATAAATCCAGTTTTTGATGCGTTTTAATTTGGTATAAAATACTTAGTGAAATCATTTGACCTTAAGGTTGAATCAGAGGGGGGCAGAAAGGTTTTGCAATACCCTGTTTAATACGAAAAAGTTAGTTGCTTGCAATCGGTTTTTATGCGAAAGCTTAGGTACCTTGAAAACTTATTTTTCGCATACATTTCCAGATTATGTTTTGGACCGCTCTGTTATCAGTGATCACAACTTTAATAGTTGCGATCTATTTTTACGTAAAATGGAAATACTATACGCTGCGTGGTTCGGTTCCTGGTCGGCAGCCAGAACTCTTATTTGGCAATCTACGTCAACTTGGTATTATGACATGAAACAAAGAATTGATTGACTCACATATTCACGGTTGTGAAAAAATGCAAAAGATGTATGGAGATATTTTTCAGTTTTGGATTGGCGCAAACCATTATTATGTGTTCTGTCGTCCTCACCATGCTCAACAAATTTATGGTGATCGTAATATATTTGATCGTCCCATAATACGTACAAAAACATTCGGTTTAATAGCTGGAAATACATTGACTACATTTATTGGTACAGAATATAAACGACGTGCAAAAATAGTTTTACCAATGCTGAGAAAAAATAAATTTATATCCATGTTTCTGTTATGACAAATTGCGTTGATCAATTAATCAATGTTTGGAAAAACAAGATATGAAAATAAAGATAATACAATCTGCACATGTTTAGTGAGTGATAACCAACAGTTATTATTAGATATGTTTGCATTACTAACATTTGATTTTGATTTTGGGAATTTAAAGCAATTGTCAAAATCAGCTACATCATCCATTACAGGCGATAAATCTGAATTATCTGATTTAGGTATAGCACTGTCTATTTGGTTAAATGCGTTTAAACGTGTTACAGTAAATGGAATGCCGTTATTTATTAATTATTATTTGTTGAAACTCGATAAAAACATATCAGAATGCTTTAAAAACTCTTGAACGTTATGCAAATAACATTATTTTAAAATGTCGAGAAACACATGCAAATGATAAACCGACCAATCTTATCGCATCGTTAGTATCATCATTAATAAAGGATGAAGCTTTGGAACGATCACAAAATGATTCAGAAAAAGCGGGAATTACTAAAAAAGAATTGTTAGAAGAAGTATTATCGTTAATTCTCTCTGGTTCTGAAACAACCTCAAGTTTTATATCTTGGTTTATTTATTATGTAAGTAAAAACCTTAGAATTCAACACAAAATGAAAGAAGAATTGAAAGTGAATGGTATTACAAAAGAAACATATTTAGACAATTTGAACTTATTGGATATATGTGAATAGACTGAATGTGTAATCAAAGAAACATTAAGAATAGCACCGATTCTTATTGGATCATTTCGCACAGTTACCAACGATACTATTATTGATGGAGTAAAAATTCATAAGGGGGAAACAGTTTTATCTCCATTTTCTTTCATGCATCGCGATCCTAGAAATTGGAAATTAGATCCTACACAATTTATTCCTGAAAGATTTTATGGTATTAATGCACCTGATGCAAATCATAATCCGTTCGCATTTGGTCCGTTCGGTGGTGGACATCGAATGTGTGCTGGACAAGACTTAGCTCGCTTAGAAATGAAAGTTATTGTCATTCGTTTAATGCAGTTTGTCACTTTTGTCGATGCACCGGGCAATAAAGGTGGTCATCGTCAACAGCTGACAATCACGCCAAAAGAACTCGCAGTTTCAATCAAATTTGATTGATTTGTCATCCTGAAAGATATAGACTTTCTCATTGAACTCTAAATCAAACCAATGTTTTCTCTTCTTTATGAAAATTGATCACTAGATGACGAACGCGTACGCACACATACTGCTTTTGAATGTATTCATACTTGCCTTTCATGTGCTTTTTATGATAGTATTTTAACATAAATATTAGTGTAAGTCATTGGGTCTATCATTGCGTGTAATTAGTTACTTTACGTAGTTTTGATTAAATCTTCACAGTAATTTCGTCATCATCGCTCACATCGTCGCAAAACTATACAAGACAAAATGTTTCAAAATTTCGTTTACAATGTGCGGAATCAACACTCATTGTTGTTACTTGTTTGAGTAATTCGATAGTGAATAAAAAACCGAGCTATGAACTATATCTAAATATTAGAGAACTTTTTTTATTGATGAAGAATTCATTATTTCTAGGGTGTGGGTGTGGGTGTGGGTGTGTGGGTGTGAGTGTGAGTGTGGGTGTGAGTGTGGGTGTGGGTGTGAGTGTGAGTGTGGGTGTGAGTGTGGGTGTGAGTGTGGGTGTGAGTGTGGGTGTGGGTGCGGGTGCGGGTGGGTGGGTGCAGAGCTCCCCAAGTAAGTCCCGCACCGTCCCGCGCTATAGCTGACGCCTAGGCTGTGTGGTTTGAACTAGCACGGAGCGCGTGCCTTTACATCTAATTGTTTAGTGGTCAGATAATGAGATGAAAAAATATGCGTTCCGTGCAAGTTCAAACAACAGAGCCTAGGCATCAGCTATAGCGCGGGACGGCGCGCGCCTTACTTACGGAGCTCTGCATACACGACACCCACATCCACACTCACACCCACACACACCCATACCCACACCCACACCCACACCCACACCCACACCCACCCACACCCACACCCACACCCACACCCACACCCACACCCACACCCA